ATCTCCCAGCCTCCAGCATCTTTCTGAGCTGCACAGCAGCCCAGCTGGGTGACTTCATGCGGCTCCAGTGCACAGTGGTCACCAACAGCCCCCGCTACCTGCATCATCTTCTGTCACAATGGTCAAGAAGTTAGCACCATGAGGGTTGCAAAAAAGAGCATCTACAGCCACTGTGAAAGCGTGTCCATGGCCAGCTCCAGCAAATCGTTTTGCAGATATGAGGTGCAGGACAGCCTGAACAGGGGTGACTCATTCCTGGCTCAGCCCAGCACGTGCACGTCCAGGGTAAGTGAGGAGAAAGACCTTGTCCACCTGGAAAAGGGCTGAGCTGTCCCAACCCTGCTTGCCCCATCCCCTGCCCAGGTCCTGCTACAGTGCAGGGGCAGCCCCCATCCCTTTCTCATCAGCCCCATACTAATTGCTCAAGTGATGAGCCTGAAGGCACCCAGGCTGCTGCAGGGCGTTGACTCTGGCAGGTCAAAGGGATCCCAGGAGAGCACGTTTCCTCTCCATCCTCATCCCACCCTGCCCCAGTCACTGCTGTTTTCACAGTCGGAGGTTAGGGAGGCATTTCTACCCTGGGTGCCAGTTTTCTTGCAGAGGGGCTCCCAGCAGCACTGATTCACAGCAAACGCGGAGGCTGTGTTTTTTCTGGGAACAAATCCTTCCCAAATCCTGCTCCTAAAGCCCTTGGTGGGGATGGGCAAGAGATTTAACCTGACCCCAGCAGGCCCTCGAGAAACTTCCTCTGCTGCTTAGGGAATCTCAATGGCAATGCCAACATCTTCAGGGATGAAGATGAAACAGGTTTGAAAAGCACGGTTTAGGTAAAATATTGAGCATGGCTTATGTGCTTTGAACTTAGATGCCAGCCAGAGCCATATAAAAAGGATGTAGATCTGTTTGACACAGTGAGAAAATAAACAGTCAGTTGGACTTCACTGACTAGTGCAGCTCTCTGGTTTTCTTGCAAAAAGAGTAAAAGATGTAAGAATTGCTGTTCATATACACAGACAGGCTCCATGTGGGGAGATGAGCTTGGAAATCCTACTTTGTGCAGCGATGAGCTGCTCTTCCTCTTCGCTTTCTGCTCCCCTTCCTAAAGTTTCTTCCCCTCCAATTCAGTCCCAACCATCTTTCATTCCTCTCTCTCGCCCCTGTATTCATTTTCTGATTGTTTCTCTCTTTTTTTTAACAGCCAAAGAAAAATTGCTCCTATCCTAAATCTCACCTAGGATGGGCAGCTCGGAGATGCCCCAGAGCAGAAACCCCAGCGTCACAGATGATGAGCTCCAAAGTGAACCATGGCAGCAGCTTGCTTCATGCAAGACCTACCAGTTGGGGATTTCCAACTGGGCTCCATGCCCAGAGCCTCCAGCGCTACAACCCCCACCTCAAACCCCAGCACCCCGGGGCAATGCCTTAGAAACTTGGGAAACTTAGAAACTTCTTGCGATCCTCTGGTTCCCCCCACTTCCCTGGGGGTTAGGCAGGGGTTTTGAGGGTTTGGATATTATTGCATGCAGCCCTGCATCTCCTGAGGATGCACCAACCTGGATGCAGGCAGGGCTTGGGTACATCAAGCCCTGCTGTGCTGGGTGCTCGGTGTAATGAGGTGCATTGGCGGTGCCTGGAAAGGTTTTCCCTGGTACAGGTAGAATGACATGCCTAGGGGATTTTTGGATACCGGGAAACCCATTGGGCTTATCTGTCTCTGCAGTGCCCTTTCTCAAGGTGTCCTCTCTAATCCCCTCCTGGGGTCCGTCTGCATTTGAGGAATAAAATGCACTGAGGGTGCAGCACCATGCAGGATACAGAAATGGGTTAACCTCAGGGTGAAATATCCATAATCCCAGGGTGAAATGTCCATAACCCCATGACCGGGATGCTCAGTAAAGGGTCCAAACCTCCTTCCCAGATGCCCGGCCCACGAACACGGTGTCCATCCCAAGGCAAATTTGCAAGCGATGACCTAGCTGCGGGCTCCTGGTGATGAGGAGCAAAGTGGTCCAGATGCCAGGAGCCCCTTCTTGCCCTTTCCTCCTTCTCCCTGTCTGTTTTTCCTCAGCAATGGGTTCCCTGTATGGATAAATTCGCTAAAGGTATTAGCCGAGCTGCAGCGCCAGGTTTCCCTGCTGAGTCCAGGACTCCCTCGCCCGTGGGTGGCCCTTTGCACCGCAGGGTTTCACCCAACCTCAGCACAGGGAGATTATGTCCTTCTGGTCGACGGGGAGGGAGAATAAAGGGTTTAACCTGCCCCAGGAGGGTCATGAGGCAAGCGAGAGCTGGCAGGGCTTCATCCTGGGGACGTGGGTGGCAGCGCTACGTACAATATCCCTACAGGCATCCACCACGCTGGCTGCAATCACCCCTTTGCCTCCTCCCTCCAGCTCTGCTCCTCTCCCCCGGCATCACCCCTCATTGCACCGCTCATCACAGTGATGAGTTGGTGTGGTCTCAGCCCAAGCTACCAGGACAAAACCCCCAAGCCCAGCAGCAGCACTGCTTCCCCGCCATCTCCTCCACAAGGTCAGTTGGAGACTCAGACAGCAGCAGCGTGTGCCAGTAAATCCCAGCACCTGGCTAGGTTTAAAAAAAAAAAAAACAAAACCCCTACTAAGGGCTGAATGCAGCTTGGTTTTAAATATAGCACGAAAGCAGCTTTTTCTAATCTTGTCCGTTTGTAATGCTATTGATATTTAAGGTGAGCTTAACACAGTGACGGGGTCAGGTTTGGAGAGGTGCATTTAGCCATGGCCCATCTAAGAGCCAAGGCTCTTAGACGAGCTCAAGCTCAAACCTGTGCCAGGTGCTGAGCCCTTTGCCAGGCACCCACAGACAAGTAATTGGGGCTATAACATTAATTGCTGGGTGCTTGGGTATTTCATGTGCCTGGCAGTCCTTGATGTGTAGTATTTAACACCTTTGTGAGCCCTTTTAGGATGGGAGCAGTGGGGTTTCTTGCTGCCCTTCCGAGCTGGTGCTCCCCCAGAGTTTTGCATCCTGCAAATGCCTCTTACTGGCCCAGCTGGAAATTTCTTGCCCAGAATGTGGTTGGGGCAGTTTTGCATGTCACGAGGTCTCAGCAGGTGCTAATATAGTCCCATAGGGGGCCCTGAACATCCCCCCAGCGCTGGGAAATAACTGTGTGTTGTTTGCTGTCCGCCACTACAACCACCTTCCTGCACAGACAGGTTTTCCCATGCAATTTTCCCCCTTGTGTTGCTGCTTCACCCCCATGCAACCCCCTGCCCCATGCAACCCCCCTTCCTTCTTGCACCTCATGCAACCCTACCCCAAGCCCCTGGCCTTGCATACCCCCCGTGGCCCTCTCCCTGTGTAATCCACTTACACCCCATGCAACCGCCTTGCCCCCTGCGCTCCCGTGCAACTCCCAAACCCCATGACATGGTTCCTCCGTGCAGCCCCCTTGCCCTAAGCACCCCCCTGAAATCCCCAACCACCCTCCATGCACCCCTACGCGCCTTGCACCCCATGCCACCCACCTGCACACCTACAGAAATGCAGCCTCCATGTGACACCCCTGCAGCCCTCCCCCCTTGCACCCTACGTAATCACCTTG